CTTGGAGGCCAGAAGAGGGTGTGTGGATGTGGATGTGGTAGAGGCTAAGGCAGATGGCTCAACAGATACAAGTACTTACTGCTCTTGCAGAGGACCTGGGTTTAGATTCCATATAAGGCAGCTCAAGACCACGTGCAACTCTAGTTCCAGGAGATCAGATGTGCCCTTCCACTTTTTGCCTCCTAAGCGCACTTGCATATATGTGATGTGCATACATTCACGAACACAGGCACATACACATACATTTTTAAAAATTCTAAAAAAGCCAGGCGTTGGTGGCGCACGCCTTTAATCCCAGCACTCGGGAGGCAGAGGCAGGCAGATCTCTATGAATTCGAGGCCAGCCTGGTCTCCAGAGCGAATGCCAGGATAGGCTCCAAAGCCACACAGAGAAACCCTGTCTCGAAAAACAACAACAACAAAAATAATCTTAAAAAAAAAAAAAGGGTTGGGCAGAGTGATAGTGGTGTATGCCTTTATTCCCAACACTCGGGAGGCACAGGTAGGTGGATCTCTGTGAGTTCAAGACCAGCCTGCTCTATAGAGTGAGATCCAGGACAGCCAGGGCTACTGGGAGAAACCCTGTCTTGAAAAACAAAACAAAATCAGCAACTCAATGCAATACACTATCCTGGAACAGTAAACGGACATTTGTGGTATCCCGTAATGGGATGTAAACTCCCTTGGGTATATATGCTCAGGAGGGGTATAGCTAGATCATACAGTAATTCTATTTTTGAGAAGCCTCTTTTGATTTCCATAGTGCCTGCATCAGTTTACACTCCTAGCAACAGTAAAGGTTCTTTGTTCCACACTTCTCATTAGCATTTAATTTCCTTCCTTCCTTCCTTCCTTCCTTCCTTCCTTCCTTCCTTCCTTCCTTCCTTCCTTCGTTTTTTTGAGACATGGTTTCTCCATGTTATTGCTCTGACTGTCCTGGCACTCACTCTGTAGACCAGGCTGGCCTTGAACTCACACAGATCCACCTGCCTCTGCCTCCAAAGCGCTGGTCAGATCCCCTGGAATTTGGTTACAGACAATTGCTGCCACATGGGTGCTGGGAATTGAACCACCACTGCCCAGTAGAATTTGTTTTCTTGATGGTGAGATTTTGGTTGGGGTGAGATGGAATACCAATGAAAGATTTTAGTTTGCTGAGAGAAAAAGTTTCCCACAGGCCTTGGCCCAGGACAAGGAAATTGGCCCCAACTCGAGGGCAGACAGACAATCCTTTTTGGGTCATACCTGGCCAACAATCAGAGACTTTCCAGGGTACATTCTGTGGTTTTTCCTTTGTAAAAAAGCAGGTCACACCTGGGTGACCACTCTAACATGAGATCATACTTTGTAATCAATCACTTTGTGCCCCTTGCCTGTATGCTGATCTGCGTTTTTTTCCTATATAAGGAGCTTAAACCCCATGCTGGGGTGTGCAGCTTTCCCAATATTGCTGACACTCGAATGCGCATTCGTTCAATAAACCCTCTTGCTTTTGCAGCTCTTGGTCTGGTTTCTGAGTCTCCGGGGCTCCTCCGGACCCTGTGCCCCATAGGAGTCTGGGAGTCTTTCACCAATATAGTATATTTTGGTTTTTTGAGGCAAGGTCCCGTGTACCCTGGGCTGGTCTCTAGCTCCCACTGTAGCTAAAGGTGATTTTGAACTTGTCTTTCTGCCTCTACCTACCCAGAGCTGAGATTACTGTAGTGTGTGCCACCATGTCTGGTTTCATCGGAACTAAGGAGTTGAACCCAGGTTCGTGCTAAGGAAACCTACCCAAAGGAGCTACATTCCTACCCCTTCAAAGTTTACATTTCTTTACTTTTTGTATGTGAGTAGGTGTGCTTATGCCACAACATGAATGTGTAAAGGTTAGAGGAAAGCTTCCAGGAATTGGTTCTCTTTCTACCCTGTGGGCCCTGGGCACTGCACTCAGGCTGTTAGTGTTGGCAGCCAGTGCCTTTACCTATTGAGCCATCTTGTCAGCCCTCAAAGTAGTTTAATTTGCATTTCTCCGATGACTAATGATATTGAATATTTTAAAAAGTATTTATGGCAACTGGGTGTGGTGGCACACGCCTTTAATCCCAGCACTTGGGAGCAGAGACAGTATCATTGAGTTCAAGACCAGCATGGTCTATAGAGAGATTTTTTCAGGAGAGTCAGGGATGTTACACAAACTCTGTCTCAAAAAGGCCAGGCAGTGGTGGCAAACCAGCCTTTAATCCCAGCACTCTGGTGGCAAACACAGGTGGATCTTTATGAGTTCAAGGCCAGCCTGATCTACAAAGTGAGTTTCAGGATAGCCAACGCTACACAGAGCAACCCTGGCTCGGGGGGGGGGGGGGGGGGGGGGGGGGTTTTTTTTTTTTTTTTTTTTTCTGTTTTGTTTTTTTTTGTTTTTGTTTTTTTTATTTTTTTTTATTTATTGTTTTGTTCTTTTTGTCTTTTTTTTTTTTTGTCTTTTTTTTTTTTTGTCTTTTTTTTTTTTTGTCTTTTTTTTTTTTTGTGTTTCTTTTTTTGTTTTTTTTTTTTTTTTTGAGAATTACCTGTTTGGTTCATTTGGCCTATTTATTGATTGGCAGGGTTTTCTGACATTTAATTTTTGCAGTTTTTTATATATTCTAATACTTTTTAAAAATTAATTTTATTTAAATTAAAAAAATCTTACTTTACATACCAATTATATATTCTAGATATTAACTCTTTATCTGCAGTATAGCTGACAGAAATTATCTCCTACTCTATAGAGGTCTGTTCATTCTGATGACGCACACCCCCCATATTTTGGATGCAGAAGCCTTTTAATTTTATGTATGTAATCCCATTCGCCAACTCTTTTCTTTAAAGATTTATTTTCTTTTACACATCCGTGTGTTTTACCTGCCTGTCTGTCTGTCTACCACATGCAGTGCCTGGTATCTGTGGAGGTCAGAAGAGAGCATCAAATCCCCTGAAACTGGAGTTATGGATGATTTTTGGCTACCTTGTGGGTGTTGGAAACTGAACCCAGGTCCTCTGCAAAGAGCAACAAATGCTGTTAGCAGCTGAGCCAGCTCTCCCGCCCCTCAATTCTTGGGCTATTTTTTGTGCTATTGGGTTCTATTCAGGTAATTCTTGTTCCTATAGGTGCTCTGATCTCATGTCCTACTACTGGTCCTCTGGCTGACTCTACTCCAGCTTCATTCTTGGCTCAAGGAATGGGCCAAGCACAGGTTTCCTTTTTGCCTGGATCACTTGCTCCACCCCTACCCCTCCTAAGATCACAGCCTGGGACAGGGGTACTCGTGATGTCTGGCAGGTTTTTTTTCCTAGGCACTGTAATGGGTGTGGAAGCACCAGAGATCAAATGGCTTTTGTGTGGACACTCCTGCCACGCATTCCTGAAGTCAGATAGCCTGAGTTGTAGACATTCCTGTGGTTACATTGATCTGAATGAGAAGACTCATCGAGGATCAAATCACTGTAGTGTGAACACCTCTAGACAGAGTGGGGTGCAGGCTTTCCTGGAATCATACAGAGAGGTGAGGCTCTTCCTGTGGTCAGAGACTAAAGTGCAGATGCACCTACAGACTTGAAAGACACACGATTAAGCCACAGAAGATGGTACCCTACAGTTTAGGGAGTTCATATCAGCTCCTGCTTGTTGGGCTGTAGAAATTCAGGACCGAAGTCAAGGAAGACTTTCTAACACTTCTTTAGAAAACAGGCCTTCCTCCTAGACCCTCTTATTGGCAGTGCTGGGATACAATTCAAGGACTTGTACATGTTAGCTAAGTGTGGAGAAAAGACTCTGAACCTAAAAACTTGTTCCGGTAAATTAGGCAGGGTGAAACATGTCTTTAATGCCAATAATTAGGAAGTACAGATAGGAGGTTCAGTATTTCAAGGTCATCTTTGGGTATACAGCAAGTTTGAGGCCAGCCTTGGCTACATGAAACCCTTTTTCTTTTTTTTTCTCTTTTGTTTTTTGACACAGGGTTTCTCTGTGTAGCCTTGGCTGTCCTGGAACTCACTCTGTGGACCAGGCTTACCTCTGCCTCCTGAGTGCTGGGATCAAAGGTGTGTACCACCACAGCATGGCATGAGATCATTTTTCTTTTACTTTTCTTTTTTTTTTTTTTTGGTTTTCCGAGACAGGGTTTCTCTGTGTAGCTTTGGAGCCTATCCTGGCACTCGCTCTGTAGACCAGGCTGGCCTGGAACTCACAGAGATCTGCCTGCCTCTGCCTCCCAAGTGCTGGGATTAAAGGCGTGCACCACCAACGCCCGGCAAGATCTTTTTTCAAAAAATAAAACAACAAAAAAAATTGTTTGAGAAATCCTTTGGAAATCTGCTTATATCTGTGGACTAGTTCTAGTTCATAGATTTTTTTCTTGTCTTTATTTTTTGAATCAGGCTCTCACTATGTAGCCCAAGCTGGCCTCAACCTCACACCCCTCCTGCCTCAGTGTTCCACATTCTGGGATTATAGGTGTGTACTACATTCGGCTTCAAATTTTCTTTCCTTTTTGAAATGGGGCCTAGCTATGTTGCCCAGGTTGACATTGAACTTCTGGGCCTGAGTATTATTTTGTGTACCTGAATAGCTAGGATTACAGATGGTGGTAGCATGACACCCAGCTAACAGAATATATTTATTTATTTATCTATCTATCTATCTATCTATCTATCTATCTATCTATTTATTTTTAAAGAGTCTATTTATTATATATACAGCACTCTGCCTCCATGTATATCTGCAAAACAGAAGAGGGCACCAGATCTCACAACGGATGGCCGTGAGCCACCATGTGGTTGCTGGGAATTGAACTCATGACCTCTGGAAGAGCAGCCAGCGCTCCCAACCTCTGAGCCAACTCTCCAGCCCCAGAATTTATTTTTTTATTTTGTGTATGTGTGTGTACTCTACCACTGAGCTACATCACCAGCCCATCACAAGAATTTTTTGAAAACACACCCATATATGCATACAAACACACATGAATAATAATGAAAGCCAATTACACTGAAATAGTTATCACTGTATATTTCATTGAAATAAAAGTGGGATACAGTAGCCAGGTTTAGTGGCACAGGCCTGTAATCTCGGCAGTTAGGGGGCAGACGCAGGATCTTTTTCTTTTTTCCAGGGCTGAGGACGGAACCCAGGGTCTTGTGCTTGCTAGGCAAGCACTCTGCCACTGAGCTAAATCCCCAACCCTGACACAGGAGGATCTTGACTTTGAGGGAAGTCTAGGCTATATAGGAAGATACTGTCTTAAAAATACCTGACCAGCCAATCAGTAAAAATTGGGATGCAGCAATAGATGGGATGTTTAATTAATGGACCGATTTATAAAATCTGTTATTATCCAAAGCAGTGAGAAATATGAGCAGTATTTCAGATGTCTGTGAATTTTATGTATACAAAAAGTATGTGACTTGCATAGCTAGGGCTTTTACTGATTTGCTATCAATGTTTGTTGACTGGCAATAAAGCTGAACTTCAGGTACCGTGAAGATGTAACATTTTTCTTCATCCAGTTGGTAGAAGTCCCTGATGTTTATCCATGCTAAGAACCCCTGCTTTGTGGGGAAATCCTGGACCTATTCAGGACACCCCAGGAGAGGCTGAGAGAAGAGGCATGTGCTCACAGTCTCGTGAAATTCCTCCTGCAGCTCCGCAGACTTTTTCAATGTTTGTTTCTTGTCAGAGTTGTTGAAGATCCCCCTTCTAGGCTTGTCTGTTCAGGGCCCATAGATGGTATCTGCAAACAAGCTTATCAAGCCAGCTTCTGGTTTTCCTGGCAGGCAGCGGCTTCTGACTTGTATGAGTTTGACTTTTACTGCCAACCCTAACATAAAGGAAAAATGCATAAAAACGTGTGTCAAATTAACTACAAAGTGCTATTTCATTCTCATTACTGCAAAGCTCCCCCGAGAGCAGACGATGCTTTATTTTTTTAAAGATTTTATCTATCTATCTATCTATCTATCTATCTATCTATCTATCTATCTATTATGTAAACAGTCTTCTGCCTGCAGGCCAGCAGAGGGCACCAGATCTCATTCAAGGTGGTTGTGAGCCACCATGTGGTTGCCGAGAATTGAACTCAGGACCTCTGGAAGAGCTGAGCCATCTCTCCAGCCCCAGACGATGCTTTAGCAGGGGTGCTACAAACATTCAAGAACTAATTTCTCTAAAAGAATTGCTTTGTACATTTCTTTATTGTATGGATATATGGATGTGTGGACGCACGCCATGGTGTGCATATGGAGGTAACAACATGTGGGAGTCAGTTCTCTCCTGAGGGTTACAAGGGTTTAACTCTGGTTTTCAGGCTCAGGTGGAAGAGCCTTTTCCTACTGAGCTATCTCTACAGCTCTAGAACTAAGTTTTTAGACATGTAGTTGGGGGCCAGGTACAGTAGTGCACATCTTTTAACCCAGCAACCCAGGGTCTTATATATGCCAGGCAAACCCTATCACTGACCTATACCCTAGCACTGTTTCGGTGTTTTTTTTTCCCCCCAGACAGGGTTTCTCTGTGTAACAGCTCTGGCTGTCCTGGAACTACCTCTGTAGACCAGGCTGGTCTCGAACTCAAGAGATCCACCTGCCTCTGCCTCCTGAGTGCTGGGATCAAGTGTGTGCCATCACTACCTGGAGGTTTTTGTTTTTAAGACTGGATTTCTCTATGTAGCCTAGGCTGGATTCTCTCTCTCTTGTGTGCTGGGATTAAAGACCTGTGCCACTATAACTGGCCTGTTTCGATTTTTTAAAAACATTTATTTATTTCCATTTTATGCATATGACTGTTTTGCCTGCTTGCATGTATGTAAATGGCTTGCATGCATGTTTGGTAAATATGGAGGCCAGAAGAAGGCATCAGATAGATCCCTTGTAACTGGAGTTACACATAGTTATTAGCTGCCATATGGGTGCTGGGAACTGAACCCAGCTCCTCCGAATAAGCAACAAGTGATCCTAACCATTGAGTCATCTCTCTAATTCCCTGTTTCAATTAAAAAAATTAGATTACTTATTCAATTATTTTATGTGTATGGGTGCTTTGCCTTGTATATGCGTACCATGTGTGTTAGGAGGCTGTGAGCCTGTGTTTCAAATTTTTGTTGTTGTTTGTTTTTTGAGACAGGGTTTCTCTACGTAGCCTGGCCTCAAACTCAGAAATTCGCCTGCTACTGCCTCCCAAGAGCTGGGATTATAAATAGTGCACCACCACTGGCTGGCCAGTTTGATTTTTATATTTGTTTTTCTCAGACAAGGTCTCTCTACATAGCCCTGGCTGTCTTGCAAGCCTCAAATTCACAATCTGCCTACCTCTGCCTCTCAAGTGCTCAACTATAGATACTTAAAAAAAACTCCACACTAGACTTTGGGGAGCCCCTTTTGAGGGCTTTACCCTGCCTGGGGAGTGGAGGGGGGGATGGCTAGGGGCAGGAGGGTTGTTTGGGGGGGGGGGAGGGCTGGGGGGAGGTGGGATGGTGGGGGGGAGGGGAGAGAGAGGGAGAAGGGATTGACATGTGAAGCAAGCTTGTTCCTAATTTGAACTAATAAAAGAATAAAATAAAAACAAAAAAACCACAAAAAAGCAATTTGAAAGACACAACACACACACACACACACAGACACACAGACACACAGACACACACAGACACACAGACACACAGACACACACACACACACACAAACAC